TTAAGTTCTTTAACGCGATCTGTACCGTTAGAGAAATTCAGATATAATTGTAATGACGGTGATGCCTCTGAATGTGTCATACGACATTTAGAATATGCCCTGATGATTCATGTGCTAGCAAGAGCAACGATGTTTTTCTTTTTAAAGGTATAGTTCTTTAAGGACGAAACATATTAGTCACATTGCAATGTTATGATTTTATAAATCTCGGACACAGGACTTTTTATACATAGCGTGTATAAAAAAATCTGGAAACGGTTGAATATATCGAAAGTAAAGCATTTTTGAGAAAAATGTTTCTGACAAAAGTTATAGGTATATAATATTATAGATTTAAAAAGATCTATTCATTGATCACATCCGCTTGATGTTGCCATCGCCAAGGTCAGATCAAGGTCAAATTGACTTTTTTTAAATGGGAAACTCTATTTTAGATGCCAGAATCTAATTTAAGACTTGAAAGTTACTGTTACCGGCATTAGCATTACGCAAGATATCCGACCGACGGGTAAAACTTCTTGAATGTTGTTCAGGATCATGTCCTGAATAAAATTTGTCAAGATAAAGATCATTGATTGTATCTCTTATTTTCATTTTTACGTAGAAATTTTTACGTAGAATTTTTGCAAAAATGGAAATAACGAGTACTTAATTTCAATGGCCTTGATCTTAACAAATGTGATCCTGAATAATATTTAAGAGATTGTAGCCGTCGGTCGAATCATCTTGCATCAGTGGTTCAGTAAATGTCGAGCCTTATAACTCGAAAAGTATTTAAAGAAAAATAACTTTATTATAATGTTTTGAAAAGCTCTTGACATTATTTATTAGATTCTGGCATCAAAAATAGGGTATCCTATTTAAAAAATCAATTTGACTTTGATCTAACCTTGATAACGCCACTCAAGGTCAAGCGGATGTGATCAATGGATAGATTTTTTTAAACAACTTTTGTCTGAAACATTTTTCTTAAAAAACTTTGCTTTTTTTCGAAATATTCAACCGTTCTATACTTTTAATATCTGTATATAAAATTCCAACAAAGGTGTTAAAGTTTTTTAATAAGATATTATAGCAAAGTATCGTTTTAAAAATATTACATATAATAATTGTAATTATTTAAAATAATCCTTAAATGGCATCATCTTTTTTCTGATGAAGATTTAAATTTGACTAGTAAATTTATATAAAAATTCGTTAACTAATAATTAATTGTTATTAATTGTTATTAAACGATCATTATATTAAAAAAATTACTATACTGAATTCTTGTGAATTTTTGAATAAAACCGATATAAAAGATAGACATATTAATATTGCTACAATAACATAAATAAATTAACTAAACTCAAATTTTATTTACGAAATCAGAAAAAAGTAATATCATTTAGCGATCAATTTAACGTTACATTTAAATTATCACAATTATCGCAATGTAGTATTTTTATTATATTTCATTTCTTCTACACACACACACACACACACACACACACACACACACACACACACACACACACACACACACATGCACGCACGCACGCACACGCACCCCAAATGTCCTATTCTAAATAGTGCATTAAAATTTCTCGAAAAATATGATAGATACGAAAAAATATTTTAATGAAACACAAGATGTTCTATTAAAAAAATCGATATGACCTTGACTTGATCTTGGCGACGCTGTCCAAGGCCAAATCAATGATACCACTTATGTCTCTCTTCGAATCAACTTTTGTTTGAAATATTTTTCCATATTTATCATAGTTCTTGAGAAATCTTAATGCATTATTTAAAAATAAGATACCTTGTATATAGAATGTCTCAAAACAAATGTTTATTGTTAAAATGTATTCTTGATATAAATCTAAGACAATTCTTCCTTTGCCAAAATTTCAAGCGTAGCTTAAAAGTTTTTGAATTATAAATAAAAATAGTAAGCGAATTACGGATCGCATACGGAAGCTAGGCAGGGGCAGTGCAATGCATTGTCCGATGCGGACACTCAGCTGCTTGCTACGCGTGACACGATGATACATGCACGTACACATACCCCCTATTCTTCCTCCCTCCCCCTCTCTCCTCTCTCATTCTCTCCTCCCTCCTCTCTCACTCTCTCCTCCCTCATCTTCCCTTCCTCCCTCCGTCTCTCCCTTCCTCCCTCTCTCCGATTTTACCGACCTAATGCGCGCCTCTAAACTCTATGGCGCCGTGTGCCACTTCTTCCTTTTCGCGCCCTATTTCTTGCTCCATTCGTGTGTGCAACATTCTAATTACGTTGTATAATTTGAACACATTAAAACGTATATATTGGACTGTTTTATGCTCACTTGCCAAATATCTCATCGTGCGGATCAATTATATTCTGTACGTATTCTGTAATTCACATTGAGAACACGATTATTATAAGTTGTAAAAACATAATTTTTAAGGGAAAAAATGGGTACCCAAGCACAGCAGCATCTGTAAAGCGCTGCTAAAAAATTTATAATATTATATGCGCTTTTTTAATACTTTTTTAACGCGATTTGTTAACGCTTTGTAAGCACTAAGTGCTACTTGGGTATTTCATAATTTGGGTATTTTACGTAACATATTTATGCTTTACATATAAAAATATATTGTAAAATACCTGTTTTTTTTTTCATTATATAAGAGGACGTTAATTAAGCGGAGTTTAATCCATCTCTTGACTTTTCTTTATATTTCTGCAAATACAAAATGTTCCACATAAAAATTGTATTGATCGCTCTGAAAAGAGCGGATTTATTTTAAGAGCGGATCGCACTG